GAAGTGAGCTCTTTTTTTGCCTTCTCAGCTCGTTCGTGGTTTGAGCTGTAACCAAGAATCATATCGTGACCTGATTCAGCAAGTTTCTTTGCTATACCATAACCAATTCCTCTTGTGCCACCAGTTATGAGGGCAAATTTAGGCTGTCTCTCTGCAGTGTTCATAGTCGAAGGCGAGCTAAGCTGGGTGTGATTTCAAAACTGGTGTTTACCACAAGCATCAACCTTCTRACGTCCGGCTCGATCAAATTTTGGTCGAATTCGACCAATGACAGTTGGAGGTCAAGTAGCTGCACGAAATTCGCTAGCTCGCACAAAATTGCGAATTTTTCAAAAATTCCTTCTGATTCCCTTCGCCCGTTAATCACCACTTCCAAAAACCAATCGCATTTCAAAACTTGAACGCTTTGACTACGAAAATCCTTYGTGTTTAAAAGATATCGCCTAACTTTAACCCCCGGGACGATGGGGTCATTCCGTCTCGAGATCAAGAGTGGCGTTTTTTTGTGACCTTCACTTTCAAAGCTGTCAAAGGAGTCGCACGTAAATATTCTGGGCAAGCAAATTTTTGTCCTTTGTTTTTGTATGCTTGTCGGCTTATTTAGCTGATGAATATCTTTGAGATTGCTATAGTTGAATATTTGACACAGATCTATATAAAAACTTTATAAATTAGATTTTGCTAAAGGACGCTGTAATTCAATATGTAGACGCTAAGTATTGTAAACAATTTGAAACAAAAACAAATCGTGTATACAACACGCGAGCCTGCGAGCCTGCGAGCCACAGTGCGACCATTGCGAGTCATGCGAGCCATGAATAGTGTGCAGATCACGCTTATTTATACGCCGCAAGGCATTGTGGGATATCTATTGTTATGCTAATTTCATGCTTTATTTCCGGTAGTGAAAATATGAAAAACTAGACGATCATGGATCGCCTACGTGGGCTTCCTGTACCTGTGACAATGGTATTTCATTTTCACGATACAGTCTTTGTTTGTAATAAGTCAAGCCAGAATTAAGTTGATATACGTTATTTATTACATCATAATGTTTTACCGAACTGAACTCAAGTAAATTCTTTAGATATCATGTCTTTCTCAGTTTTCCAAAATAATGAGCTCGACTTTACGCTCTAAGAGAAATATCTGAAAGGTCATATAAACAATAGAAACGGTACAGTTTTTGCAGTTTTGTCAGTATCGTATAACTTTGAATAATATTTTGATCGCTTGAATCATGTAAGATCTTGTGTTTCTGTTCTTTTTATTTGGTGTATAATTTTACATCTGGTGTTCTATGCCATCATCAAACAGGTCTACCTTCTAATGACAGTTCATATTTTTGGATTTGTCTATGTTTTTTAAGTCAAACAATCATCAAAACAAATCTTCATACACAATATAGATTTTGTATACAGAGATCAGTRATTCACACGTGCATGCGTTCAAATTCAGACACATCGTTTAGAAAATGACATCAATATTTTTCAGATGAGGTTTGATATGTTTTAGTCCATCGAATGATTATTTTTCTGTCAAAGTATGAAACTTAAAATCCATGTGATTGACATCGAACACTTGTTGTGGCGAAGTATAGTGCTCTTCGAGTCGGCCTTTAGCACCATATTACTTATCGACATATAAAGTTAAACAATAATTTGCATAATTAGTTTCCATGACGTAATGTAACGCAATAACAAAGATAAGTGAGTGATTGTTTTCTGTGATTAAATTAAAGGCGCTCAACGAGCGCATGTGGTTACTCCCAATATTGTTTGTCATTGAAATGTATTCAAAAGGAAAGTTCTTTTCATTGATATGGTTGAAAGTTTTTGAGAATTCTTTGAAGTAGGGTTGAAAGCAACTGCTAAGAAAATGACCCACATTTGAATAGTAATTTGAAAATTATAAACAGACAATTTTCGACGTCCATTATTAGACTGAAATGTTTTATTTCATAACATGTA